TTTCAGATCCTTGGAATTTTCTGCTGTTTTGTTTTCTCGGTTCCCCTCGCCACTCCTCTCATCTTCCTACTTTATGAAAAAAAGTATTCCACTACTATTTCTTGTACTTCACTCACCAAAGAGTCCCCATGTGCAAGGCAGTGTCACAGGTGACCACACCAATTACAACGAAGTCCTGTGGCACTTTATAGACTAACATTTATTGGAGCATAAGCTTTTGTGGGCACAAAAGCTTATGCTCCAATAAATGTTAGTCTATAAAGTGCCACAGGACTTCGTTGTAATTGGTGTGGTCACCTGTGACACTGCCTTGCACATGGGGACTCTTTGGTGAGTGAAGTACAAGAAATAGTAGTGGAATACTTTTTTTCATAAAGTAGGAAGATGAGAGGAGTGGCGAGGGGAACCGAGAAAACAAAACAGCAGAAAATTCCAAGGATCTGAAAGAAAACCCTATGAAAATAATTCAAGTCTCTTACTGATATCCATGGACTTAGACCAGGTTATAGGGTGAAAAGAAAGGAATTGATAACCCCTATGAGTTCCTGTATCTGCCTTAAAAATGTATATGCTTTCCACAGATGGGTGCTCACCTTTCTACTGCAATGACCTGGACAGTACCATCAAATGATAATTGTTAAGAAAGTACTTTTGGTTGCCACAGACATAACAGGTTCAGAATTAGTGAACTGATTACATCCTATGAAAAAACTACTCCGCACACCAATTTCTCAATCCTATCAGAGAGTATGATGTCAAAAGCATATTGGTTGCCCAAATATTTCGTATTTACTCACGTGAGAAACATATACAGTAGACTTCAAATAATCCGGCACCTTTGGGACCTAGGGGGTGCCGGATTATCGGATATGCCGGAGTATCAGGAGTATCAGGGGGGCTGTGACAGGTCGGGGGGAGGAGGTCGGCGGGTAACAGCACCGCGTGGGGCAAACCCTCCGCCGCTTTGCAGGGAGGTGGGGGAAGCCCTGCGCAGCCGCTGGAGACAGGCCAGCTGGGGCTGCAAGTGGCAGGGGGAACCTGGGGAAGTGGCAGGACAGAGCAGCTGGCTTGGTCCCGCAGCACTGCTCCTCACCTGAGCGGCACTGCGGGACCAACCCAGCAGCACCCCAGCTGCTCTGCCTGCCCCTGTCCGTGGCTGGTCAGTTTCAGCAGCAACAGAGTTGGGGAAGCTGTGAGGCAGAGAAGCTGGTGGGCTGCCGGGTTGGCCCCGCAGTGCTGCGGGACCAACCAGGCAGCACCCCAGATGCTCTGCCCCATGGCTTCCCCAAGTCCGCCACTCGTCAGTTTCAGCAGCAGCAGCGGTGGCTTGGGGAAGCGGCACGGAGAAAGCAGCTGGGGTGCTGCCGGGCACCGAGCAGGGGGGTGAGGGGCGATGCTGCGGGACCAACCCGGGAGCACCCGAGCTGCTCTGCTCCACACTGCTTCCCCAAGTCAGTGTCAGCAGCAGCAGCAGCAGACGACTTGGGGAAGCAGCACGGAGCAGCTCCAATTGTCCAGCTGGCCAGAGCACTTCCAGATTCCAGTTGGTGCTGGACTATCGGGAGTGCTGGACCACTGGATGACGGACAATTGGAGTTTTACTGTACATTCTAATTGGAGATTAAGACCTTGATCCTGCAATGGGATCTGCCTAGGCTGAGATGTCATCTACACATGGTAGGGTTAAAGCCACAAATGAAAAAACAAAGACTCAAAGACAAAAAATAAATGCTATTAGGTATTAAGTTTGGTCCAAGACTGAATAAAATATTTTACAATAGCAAACTTTATTCATCTTATCAAAGAAGACAGTTTATGCAAAAAACAAACCTAGACTTAATAAAAACCAGTAGACTAAACGAAAACTCTCTTTATAAGATAAAGCCTATACAATGCAGAAGCAGCACAGATACAGTGGTTTTTGCTATTACTTTTCCATACAGATGCCAAATCTTCCAACTTCTTTTAGTGGTCTAATTTCCTGCAGTATATTCATGCTCCTAGTTTATTTAGAACATATTCTTTTGATAGAAAATGAACAGTTGGTCATTTGTAACATTATCAGACTGAATTAACTCTTTATTCTTAAATGTAACAATTTACAAAAACCACAATTTGTACATGAAGCTTTTAACACTGATTTTAAATGAAAACCAGAACTTCTGTATGTTTCTATTGAAATATTAAGTTAGAAGCATTTCTGAATGATTTCTGTCAACAGTGAAAGGTTATACTATTATTGTTCAACAATAAAATAGAGAACCATGGAACTGATTAGATTTCTGTTATATATATTATAGCAAACCATGAATTTAAAATTAACTTCTATTTAAAAAATAATCTAATCTTAAACAATAGTACTTTTTCTGCTGTAATTTGAATTAGTTTGGGATATGGTCACATACCTAATATACATAATTTGTCATCAATGTAAAACAAACTTAGTTTTGAAAGTGAGAGCAATAAAAATGCAGTCTTGTGCAAAAGATCCCAAAAAAATAAAGAACATGCAGCACTTTAAACACAAGAGCATTTTAAAACTCTTTTCAAAAGACTGAATCATGCAGAGAAACTATGAAGCAAGTACAAATCCACAGACAACTTTGTATGACCAGATCAATATTTCATGTTGGGAAGTCTATGAATCGAAGCATTCAAATATATATACTCCAAGAAAATACATGTGGAGAAAAAGCTGTTTGACTGGACAACACTAAATGAAACCATAACTAATAATATTATTACTGTTTTATACAAACTTAATAAAATAGACAATATTTTTCCATATGTTAAAATACCTCTCCTTCAATAATGCAAACAAAAGGCTTATTGAACACTGCCAATTTAGCAAGCTAAACAAAGAGAACCAGTCACCATGTGGGAAATTCACCTCTGCAAAGTGCCTTGTATGTACCCTGTGCATTGGGATGAAGTACATTTTTGACATAGTATATGGACCATAATACTTGCAATAGAATTGGAAGCAAAAACTACTAGCAATTTCAGAAGAGCCCTGAAAAAACTAGCTCTGTGAAAGTTGCCTGACGAATGACAAAACTACTGTATTTGTGCAAATTTGAACAGACAAAGCTGGACAGTTAGTATGGTCTACCCCTATACACTTACATCCACTGAAAATATATCGTGTATACACACAGATATGTAAGGAAAATGACATGACCACAAGTTAGTATCCAGGTTTAAACTTTAAATCCACAAAAGGAAGGGAATTCGGAGTTGAATTCTTTGGTACCGTTAACGCAGAAATCCAATATATGTGCATGATGTTACACTGCATACTACGCTCTCAATTTCCTTGGTAAAATTCCATTTACATTAACAGAATTCACCACACATCAATTTGGTCCTGTATGTGCTCCAAAGTCTAGATAAATCCATGTAAAAGAAGTGAAAATTAGAAGCATTTACTATGTGCTATGCTCCTTTTTAGGCATTTGAGGCAGACTCTTAAAATTTACTTTAATAAAGTGTTCTGTTTCTTCACTGTAATACACCTGAGTTTAAGTTTTTATATATTTAAATCATATACGATACATACAACCATAATTTATTAACAATCCAGTGATGACAGTCTCTTATGACTAGAGGGACTTTGTAAACATTTCTCTGTTTTAATGTCAATATTTTGGTTGTTTTTTATTTTACATATCTAAACAAACTGAAAAAAGTAATTTAAAATCAAAATGTATTTAAATAAAAATAGTTCTGTCAAATAAGCTTTCATTTATTTTCATACACCCCCATTCAAAATAAGCCAAATCCTAAAAAGCAACACTCATTAGAAATATGATTTTATAAATCTAGAAAAGAAAAAAAAATCTCACACTAAGATTCTGAAGACGAAGAGTAAGTGAAAAGTAAACTTTTACACCGTTACGGAGTTGAAAATAAGATTATATCATACAAAAGGTGTTAGAGCAGCATTAAAAGTTATAGCTCTGCTACCATATATTAGCATTCTTTGATTTCATTAACTCATTGCATATGAGTGCTGTTTCTATACAACACTCTCCTTGTATAAATCGTAAGCCAAGCCACGCAAGAAGGTTTAGACGCTGACATTGTTTGTTTACTCAATTTACATGCTCATCACAGGGCCAAAAATTCATATGAAAATAAAGATAATGTTATGTTAGCAGAAAATAATCCTTAATCCCTAACATCCTAGTACAAGCAGGTTAGTGTGGATTTGCCAAAGAATAAGTATGAGACCTATTTTCAGCAGTCCTAACACAATACATAGTTTATTTAATGTTGTTTGTTTAATGTTGTGTAAGCACAGCGCCACTGACAGCGTGTATACATGCACACAGCTACACAGTTGTAATATATACCCACATTTACACCACATAAGGAAAATAAAATAAAAGGAGAAAAAAAATGTGTCCATGAGAGAAATAACAGTACAAATGCTTCACTGAAACATCACTACTTGGTACACAAATAGTTACTTCATAAAATGTCTACCCTGTTACACATCATCTTCATTTGAAAAACTGTATGGGCAGCAGATCAGTTTTTTTCCCTAAAGGCGTTCACTGTTAAATATGGCTTGATGAATTATGTTCTTATTTAAATACAATGAAAGAATGAGATTCAATTAAGCTTTGACCTATTTCTTTTAATAAAAGCTACAGGAGTGCGTTCTCAAAAAATACAAGAAAATAACATTCCAAGCTCAAAATCACTCACAAAAAGCTTTTAACAATGCTTTGAAATGTGTATGTCTTTCCTTTTAGCATGGCAGAACAGTAATCTCATATCTAAGCGTTGCCAAACGTTATTCATCAACATGGAATATCTAATCAGTATGTTAGAGAAATGGAAAATATAAGGAGAAAAAATAAAATGTCTCCTGAGTGTGTAAATGCTTAGATATACTACTAAGCCAAAAACAAAAAAAAGGGGGAGGGAGGGGAGACTGGGGATGAAGACAGGGAGAGACAGACACAGAAAACATTGGGTTGAAAAATACCCACCTCTAGCAGACAGCTTTTTGGTGTTGATAATTTTGGCAGCATACTCTTGTCCTGCAGGAATTTTCACACATCTTCTTACAACTGAGAATGCCCCCCTGAAAACCAATAACCAGACAAACATCAGCACAGGAGCTATAATATTGATAATGATTCTAATAATGTGAGTGTTTTAACTGATTTGATTGAAATGCATATTGTGGATGTAAGAGACAGGCAAATGAGCACGAAATGGCAATCATTATTCATTTTATAGACTACAACAATTAACTGGATTTAAAATATAAAAGTGACCACAAGTCACGGTAAGCAGTTTTAATATATGTCCAGAAAACTGTAAGTGATGGTATTTACACACCAGAAACTTGCACATTTCACTGTTCCTCGACTCAAAAGCCTCAACTGCTCCCTGACTACATTACAGTAATCAAACCTGTTAAGTGTAAAAAAACAAAACCAAACCTGTGTAAAAATTACACCTCCGGCTTTGTCAATGTGGCTATTATATTTAATTAAATTTAAACAGAGCTCATTCATGTGAGTAAGAAGTGTATCTTAATGAACACAGCGCTACACAGGGACATCCTACTCCTTGCAGAAAAGGAGCATTTGAATTACACTGCTGTTTACAACATTCTCCATGTTTTTGATACCAAATGGTATCCCCACAAGCCTTTTCAAGTCATTTACATAACAAAATGACACACCAATGAATTCTCAATTTAAACAGAAAGCAAAGAAAAACTGGAGAGTAGAGAATAGTTAATTTCAAGTATGAACAATACACAGCCATCAGCTTGTGTGTGAATAATGTATGAATGTCTGGATATATTTTTGAGTGTCTACATAAACCGGGCAGCTTTTCTGACCATGGGCAGAGCTCTCTCATCTACCTTGGGTTTCTCTTACCCTAGTGAGAATGGTGGCCGTAAATCCTGAAGAGATGATAGCTGCAATGTGACATTACCAGCAAGAACAACAATAATTCTTCACAAATAACAAGAGGACGGGAGGGGAGGGTCGCCCTTCCTCCCCATTGGAAGTACTGGATGCAAGAGATACTGTACATCCAGCTGAACTTTCTGCCTCAATCAACGTAGCACCTAATTGTATCAAGTATAAAACAGACAAGCATGCAAAGCAAGCTAGGCAGCTGTGTCTAAAAATTATGCATTTATCCTTTAGATACGTGCATGGAGCTGAATCCTTCCTCCCCCTAGGACAACTCCAACTGCAGAGCTTAGCAATGCAATGAAGACTCCTTTGCAAAGGATCTGAGGCAGCAGCCACCACCCCCATTCCGAACAAAAGCCACAACTTTGCCCAGCCGCAACCTGTCAAACCACTTCCCTTGCTCCCAACCGAAATCCCCCTCCTCCCCTCGACCCCTTCCCCCACCGCGGCGCTTACTTTCCAAGCTCCTCGAAGAGCTGGTACTCGTCGGTGAACCTGGTGCAGGTAGCGGTTGAAGCCATCATGAGTCCAGGCTGCTCCTGCCGGTGCCTCGGAGGCAGAGAGGGACTGGGAAGAGGGGGGCGGACCGGAGGCGAGACGGGAGAGAAGCCGCGCTTCTTCTCCCCCCAGCGAGTCGGCGTCACCCTTGCTGGCTTCTTTACTTTCTTGTTGGGTCGTTGGGCGGGGCGCGGGGGGCGGGGGGG